TAAGAAGGAACTGCAACAGGTCAGATTTTTGGCTTTAGATAAATATTGTGCTTTGGATATTGAAACAAAAGTCCAGGTGATACAGGAGGAAGAACCCTTGTAGACAGACTTTGTCTATGAGGAGGACGGTAAAGATGTTGAATCAAAGAAGCTGGGAACAGAACAAAGCGAGGAGATTGCTTCGAAGTCAGAAGGAATCGAAGAAAGAGCGTCATTAAGTTCTTAGATACAAGACCCCTTGGAAGAGATAAATTTAGGGGAAGGTTCTATACAACAGCCTACCTATATAAGCGTTTGGTTGAATACTCTTGACAGGGACCAGTTGTTGGTTATTTTGAAGCTAATGAACTACCAGGATTGAATAGGTCATTAGTGAAACATAGGCTCCCTATGAGACCTAATTTCAAACCATATAAGCAAAAACCAAGGAGAATGAGTCCAAAAGTGATTCAGAAAGTTAAGGAGAAAATTCTTAGACTCTTGAAGACAGGCTTTATTAGGACAGCCAAGTATATTGAATGGCTATCCAATATTGTGCCAGTAGTTAAGAAGAATGGCAAAATGAGTGTATGCATCGATTTCAAAAACTTAAATCTAGCAACTCCAAAAGATGAGTATCCTATGCCTATAGTAGATTTGTTGGTAGACAGTTCAGCAAGGCTTCAAATTTTATCAATGATGGATGGGCACTCTAGTTATAACCAAATATGCATTGCAGAGGAGGATGTCCACAAGACAGCATTCAAATGTCCTGGGAATATTGGCACCTTCGAATGGGTTAAAATGCCATTTGGTCTGAAGAATGCTGGGGCTACATATCATAGGGCTATGAATACTATCTTTCATGACCTTATTGGGGGGGTATTTAGAGTGTTATATTGATGACATTGTAGTGAAATCCCAGTCCATGGAGGAACATTTGTTTCACTTAGAAGCAGCTTTCGAAAGAATGAGAAAGTTTAAGTTGAAACTCAATCCTCTTAAATGTGCTTTTAGCGTATCATCTGGAAACTTCTTGGGCTATGTAGTACACAAGAAAGGAATACAGATTGACCAGAATAAAGCCAAAGCCATCATTGAAGCCAGACCTCCATCAAGTAAGAAAGAATTACAAAAGTTCCTTGGACAGGTTAATTTTCTTCAAAGATTAATTTCTAATACTGCAGGGAAAACTAAAGTATTTTCTTCCTTGTTAAGGCTAAGAGATGAAGAAGAGTTTGTGTGGACAGTAGAGCATCAAACTGCTTTTGAAGGAATCAAAGCCCACTTGGCCAACCCTCTAGTGCTGATGTCACCAAAGGGTGATAAGCCCTTGAAGTTGTACATAGCTGCAACAGAAGATTCATTGGGAGCTTTCTTAGCCCAAGACAATGAAGAAGGAAAGGAGCAAGCTGTTTATTACCTTAGTAGGTTTCTAAATTCTTGTGAATGTAAATATTCAGCTGTAGAAAAGCTGTGCCTTGCATTGTATTTTGCTGCAATGAAATTAAGATACTATCTTTTGCCTACAACTGTCTTGGCAATTGCAACCACAGATTTGGTTAAATATATGTTATCTAGACCCATGCTGAGGGAAAGAATTGGCAAATGGATACTAGCTTTGTCAGAATTTCATCTAGAATATGTTTCCCAAAAGGCAGTAAAAGGACAAGTTTTGGCTAATTTTTTGGCAAACCATCCATGTCAAACAGAAAGCCAAGAGATAATGGAACTTGGTATGACTAGTGTTGAACCATGGCAAATGTGGTTCGATGGGTCAAAAGCCAATGGTTTAATTGGAATTGGTATAGTAATTAAGTCAACACAAGGAGTAGAAACCACGCATGGTTTCAGAGTGGATGAAATTACTTGTTCCAATAATCAAGCTGAATATGAAGCTTTAGTAATGGGACTAGAAATACTTATTGGATTACAAGCTCATGCAGTTGACATATTTGGAGATTCGCAATTGGAAGTTAACCAGATGAAAGGGATTTTCAAATGTCAAAGTATAAGCATGTTACCATACTATGTTGTTACATTACATCTGCTTTCTCAATTTCAGATAGCAAATGTAACTCATGTCCCAAGATTTTTGAATAATAAAGCTAATGACATAGCTTAGAAAGCTTTAAATTTCAAGAGAAGGGATAATACTGGAAGAAATATAAGCCAGACAACATATCATTAAGTAATACTACCCTTGAATAAAAGGGATGTGGTCCTGGAAGTCAATCATAATGACTTACAAGAGCAAGATTGGAGGCATCCAATAATACAGTATCTGACTAGCCTACCTTCGAAAGCCAGTAGAAAAATTAAATTGCAGTCTATGCAGTACATAATGTATGGTAATGCTCTCTACAAAAGAGGGGGAGATGGGTTACTGTTGGAATGTTTAGGTCCAAAGGAAGCATTAACAGCTATGTCTGAGGTTCACGAAGGCATCTGTGGTGCTCATCAACCTGGTGTGAAGATGAGATGGTTGTTTCGAAAGCATTCCTACTATTGGCCAACTATCCTTAAAGACTGCATAGAGTATGCAAGAGGTTGCCAGGCATGCCAAAAGCATGGCACAATAAGACACGTGCCCATAACTGACCTGTATGCAGTTGTGAAGGCTTGGCCATTTAGAGGATTGGCTATGGACATAATAGGGAAAATACACCCACCCTCTTCAAAGCATCATTGTTTCATCTTAGTGGCCACTGATTATTTCACCAAATGGGTCGAAGCTAAGCCATACAAGGCTGTAGACCAGACTGAAGTCATTGGATTCATTAAGGATTTAATCCACAGATTTGGCATCCCACAGACTACAACTGTTGATAATGGGACTGTATTTGATGGGAAAATGGTGAAGTCTTTTGTGGCAGAATTTGGAATTAGCCTTGTTAATCCCACCCCTTATTATGCACAAGCCAATGGTCAAGCTAAATCATTCAATAAGTCTTTAAAAGGGAATACAAAAAGTTGTGGAAGACAATCTAAGGGATTGGCATAACTTACTGTTGGATGTTTTGTGGGCTTATAGAACTTCTCCAAGGTCAAGCATAGGAGTCACTCCTTATACCTAAGTAGATGGGCATGATGCAGTGTTACTTGTGGAAATTAATGTTAAGTCCTTGAGGGTAAGATGCCAAGACCAGTTAAATCCTGAGCAATACCATCAGAGTATGTGCTTAGAGTTAGAGAGTATAGACGAAGCTAGAATTCTGGCATTAAATAGCATTCTTTTCCAAAAGAAGAAGGCAGCCAAAAACTATAATAAGAAAGTCAAACATATTGGCTTTGATGAAGGTGATTTGGCATGGAAGACAATACTCCCAATAGGAATTAAAAGCCATAAGTTTGGCAAATGGTCACCTAATTAGGAAGGGCCATATCAAGTTCATAGAATCCTGTCCTTTAGAGCATACCATTTAAGAAATTTAAATGGGTATGTGCATCCTAAAAAGATTAATGGCAGATATTTGAAGCCTTATTTTCCAACCATTTGGGAAACACAAGGAATAGAATAAATGCTAAGTAAAAGAATAACAGATTATTCAAATCATAAATAAGAATTTACTTTTCATAAAGAGTTGAATACATTTTGCCATAAATTGGCCCAGAAGTCAGTACAATGCCTTAGTTGTTCTTTTACAACAGATGTTCTATTCTTAAATGATGAAAACAACTGGATGGCTGTGGTCATTTCTTGCTTTCGATCGGCCAATCCTTGATTGGTAATCAGCAACTTGGTGTCAGTTCGAACTAAGGCCTGGTTAACTGCAGATAGCTCCTCCTCAAGTTGAGCTTTCTTCTCCAGTAGTTGAGTTCGAAATTGGGAGACAGAGGAATGTCGTTCCTTTAGCTTTGATACTTCAGTATGTACTTTGGAAACAAAGCTCTGGTCTCTCACTAATTTCTCCTCTGCAACCTTCGCAGTGTGGCAAATGTTGATATAAAAGTCGATGGTGGCTGCCGCCTGAGATAAATGACTTGAGACAGTCGTGCCAGATTGCTCAACAATCTTGCAGCACTGAAGGAAGCCATTTCTTACTATAGGTCTCTCTAAGGCCTCGAAAGGAATCCTCGAAAAAGATGTCAATAGCTCCAGACAGTTGTCCAAGTCTATCAGAGTTGAAGAAGGCTTACTACTGGAGGAAGAGCTCTCAAAAATTTCTAGTAGGAAATCAGCCAAAACTAATGGCTCAGTCTCATCACTAGCCATTGGAGAGGTGGAAGGCATGTCGAAGAGACTAGCCAGTCTTGCTTCGAAGATGTCTACCTCGTCCGTGGACATGAAAGGTGCAGAAAGAGCTTTGATGGAAGGCACGAAGGACTGCATAGGAATAGGAGAAATGGGTGGAGCATCTTCAACAGTCTCCATAGTTCTAGTTACCAATAAGTCGAGGGAAGAGGGGCTAGAACTAGGTAGAGGTGATAAACCATGAGTTGGAGAGCTACTAGTACCCTCAGTAGAAGAATCAGCTACCATCGAGGAGGAAGTAGTAGCTGGAGTTTCCTTAGGAGAGGAAGGAAATGTGAGGTTCGAAGGAGAACTAAATTGAGAAAAATCAAAGGACAAATAAGGGAGATATGGAGTTAAGCCAGAAGGAAAAGGAGCAGGAATACTTGGCCTTAGGTAGGGTATAGAAAATATAGGGCCTGGAAGTGGAAGAATTATCTGAATGGTTTCCATATCTTTAGGTTGTTCCACTTCGACTGAAACTGAGGAAGTCCTTATTGGAAAAATAGGCTCAGTAGTTGTTGCTGCAAAAGAAGAAGTACAAAGTAATGTCAAGTCTCAATACCAAGAATTTGACAAGGGAAAAGAATAGAGACATGAAAGAAGTTACTTGTTTCAGAAGTGGTAGCAACAATGGGAAAGCTGCGAAGGGAATAATGCTCAGCAATATGCTACTTCCTTGCAGTTTCTTTTTGGATTGCAGCAACATCAGAAGCTTCATCTCTTAACAGTTGTTGCTGCCGCCTTTTTCAGCTCTCTAAAAAACAATTATGGCCTTAGAATGTTCCTACTCTACTGCCTTGGCAGCTGCCTCATGAATAAGGTCCTCGACCAACTCAGAAGGAGAGACAGTCATCTTCCTTCTCTTTGTTCTCTGTATTTGTATTGCCTGCTCCTTCTCAATTTCTCTCTCTTCAATCTGGGATTCAGATCCCTCAGAAGTGAGTTCTTCTTCTACTACTCTGGCAATTGTCTCATGAGTAGGATCTTCAACCAAATCAGAAGAAGGGACACCCACTCTCTTTCTTCTTTGTAAGGGTGTCTCTTGCTCTTGATCTGCTTCTTCTTCTTCTGCTAATTGAACTTCAGGTGCTTTCTCTTCAGGATCAGGTAAAAGTTTCCTTTTCTTCTTTTGTTGGTTGCTCCTGATAAGATTTAAAGCTTGGGTCTTCTGAGGAGAGTCTCCCTGTGAGGCACCCGCACCACCTCACAAAAGAAGAACTAAAGATAAGTTTTTCTAAAAGCATTATAAAGAAGGAAAAAAGAGTAGAAACAAGGGTATATACCTTTCTTCGAGGCAGCTCGAGTGACTCTAGGAGGAGTTGAGGCAGTAGGAGTAGGCTGTGGGGTAGCAGGCACAGGAACTAAAATGGTAGGAGCAGTGGAAGAAGTGACAACTCCCGCTCCTTTGGGCTTGGCTTGGGGCACATCCAGCACCATTAATAGGTCTTGAAGAGGAATGGCCAAGTATGCCTCCATATTGGTCACCCACCAGTTTTGGCACCTTTTAAGTAGGCTGCCTTGAGGAATGAAGGAGACATACTCAAACTCAATCAAGTCCTGTATAAACTTAGAAGTTGCTTCTTCTAGTCTGGACCTTCGAACCTTTAAATCCCTGCTGGTAAGACTTAAATTGGTGTTACTGCAGAGAGGAATTGGGACCCCTTGTGAGAAGCCAAATTGTCTAGCAAATTGAGCAGGACTATAGGGCTCAACAATGCATTTGTAGGCTCTGGGGTTCATAGTCCCAATGAATAATTCTCTGGGGATCAGAATAGAAGCCCATATATCCTTGTGAGGAGGTGAAGCACAGAACCTATCACTTAGAAAAATTTTCAACCAAGATGGGCCAATAGTAATGGGTTCGAAGGGACAAAAGCAGTAAGAAGGAAAGGAAGCTGGAGGTTGGTGGAAGAAAGAGAAGTAAAAGGCAAAGGTAAAGGGATAAAGTGAAGCATTGGCTAGCCTCATGCCATGAGTAGGAGGGTTTAGCTCAAAAAATTTAAGGCACTTAGATTGTAGCTCAGTAAAATAAGCAAAAAGCCAAAACTGAAGTATCCAAAATGGACCCCCTTGATTGGCGTCCAAGGGTTTCTCACAAAAAAGAGAACAAGCTCTATATACATGACCTAGAACGTATGGAGCTAAAGCCACCTTTTTTTTGTAGGACAAGGGCTTTGGCAAAAGGGGCAAATTCAGGCATGATTCTTTGAGAAAAGGTGCAGAAAAGAAATTTGCAAAGCCAGTATAGTATGAAAGAGAAGAATTCCCTATCAGTTACAGGGCCCTCCCTTCTATTCTCAGCCTTGACAAAGTCACTATAGGATGAGTTAAGGGACGGAAGGGAAAAGGGGATTGGTAGGTCAGGATAATATGGTCCAATGGGGGTACCAATGGCGGACAATCCTAATAGATGGCAAATATCAAGAACAGTAGGGGCCATCATCCCACATCTAAATTGAAAGAAATTAAAGGCAGAATTCCAAAAGCAAAGGGCAGCAGGTATTAAGAAAGGGTCCTCTGAGATACTGAACCTGGATAGTCGGAGGGCGTCGAGAAGGCAGAGCTCTTGAAGGTCTGGAGTCCTGTGAGGGACAACCCGATCATACCATTCTTGCCACTCCGGTCTCACTGTGGGCCAGCATCGGTGGGGACGGTTCATCCTCCAGTTTTCCCAGTCAAGACCACCTTCGTAAATGAGACAATGGTCTTCTAGACGTGGGTATAAAGCTGGAAGCTCGGTAAGAATCTTTTTGAAGATAGGCCCAAGCACATAGTCTTGTTGCTCATGACGTCGAGGGATGAAGATGCGTTTGTCGATTGCGTTTTTCTCACAGCCTTGTACTTTTCACATTTTGCCTCAATGATCCTTTTCAAGGTTATCGACAGGCTCGCACGCTCTACGATTGGTACTTTCAATGAAGAAGAAGCCATTGATAGAAAGCTTTCTCAGAGGATGGAGTTGGGAAAGGGAGTAGAGAGAAGTGGAAAGTCGATAGAGATAAAGGGTTTGTGCAGTAGGGAAATAGGTGAATTCCGAACATGAAATAAAAGGGTTTTGAAAAAACTTTTGTGTCTGAAGATATAATTAGTTGTGTAACATGAATGGAATTCACAAAAAGTACTAAAATATAGATGTGAAAGGTTTCCCTCAATGTTGATAGTTTTGGAGGGAAACATGTCTCAAATATTGATATCAGCTTCGAAATACAGTATTTGGCTTCGAAGCCAAATTTTGGCGCTGAGATCCAATAACAAATAGCTTCGAAGGCAAGGAGCCGACTTCGAAGCACATCTACGAATGCAAGAAAGCTCAAGTGTTTGTATATCCCAACAAGGTCGAAAGCCTGTTTTTAGGTTTCTTAGTGGGACTTGAGATCCCTTAAGGATGGAAACTGTTGTGCAAAGTATTAAAACCACTAGTTGGTTTGAAGATTGCTTATTGAATTAAAGCAGTGCAACCTTCGAGGGTGGAGGGGCTTCCATATTTTTGAAAGTATGAACTGTTGTTCGAAGCAAAAAATGATCAATTTAAAAATGTTTGATTGTGCTAACCATATGGCCATATATTGGACATGATTAAAATAAGCTTTAAAGGGCGAGGTTGTTAAAATTCGAAGCACTTATTCTAAACAGAAATCAGCAAAAGTTGTCAACCATATTCCATAAATTGGAAAATTCATGTTGGTTTTTCAGCATTTTTATTTGAGATGATTGAATCCAAATTCGAAGTATGAGGTTGGTTAATTCGAAGCCCTAAATTTGCTTATGAAGGCAAATAGAGATAAATTCGAACCATGCCAAACAAAGAGAAAAGACTTGGATGTATTAAAATAAAAGCAATTACATTAAAAGTTCCTCCTTGGGTACACATTCCAGTTCATAAAAATAAGGAACAGAATAAATAACGAGATCATGAAATGTAGTCCAACTATGGTCAATGAATTTCTGTTCTTTCTTTATTCTATCTTCTATTTGTTCCAAGTTTGGCTGCTAAAGTTGATGTGCTCTCATTTGATAAAAGAGCTCTTCAGCTTTTATTTCGAACACTGTTTCTTTTAGCCCTTGTTCCAGCTCGTCCATCTCCAAGTCATCTCAGTACGCAGAGTCTTTATTCTTGAAGTCATTGTATTCCCCGACGAGGTTCTCTACTTCGTACTGGGTATGAACTCGGAGGGATGAAAGTTGGTCCAAAGATTAGGTGGTGGCCAAAGAAGTGCGGTGCCAATGGAGAAGCAATGGGAGTTGGTCCAAAAATATGTGGAGTTTTGCTTGGGCAATGGGGTTGAGGACATGACCCCGAGTCAGAATGTCACAAGCCCATTGAAGGTTCTTGAGGGGAACATCGTCCTCAAGAACATTGAAGGGCAAGTGAGAAAAAGCCGCAAGCAGAAGTTGGGCTTGCTTTTGTTGAGCTGGAGTAGGAGGAGGTTGGGGCCTGTAAGGAGAAAAAACCTTCTCCGCAGAGAGGGTAAGCTTCAATCTCTCTATCCAGGAAGGTTTTTTAGGAGGGGGAGGTATAGAGGCCTCCATTTCGAAGAAAGGAGGAAACCAAGGGACATTGACACAATCAAGCCAGTCAGAAGGATGAAGCTTCGCCTTCTTGGCTAAGAATGATGGGTTATACCCCTGTGCCTCTTCTGGGCGAAGGACAACTCATAGTATCTTTGTAGGCATGGATGATGTGTACCATGCTACAAGTAGATTGTCCTCTAAACTACGTCGGCGATCGATGGACACGTAAGGATAGACCACCGAGCTTCGCGCATAAGAAGGGAACTCTAAAGGATCAGTGAACTCAACAAAATGATGGTTAATTCGCTCCCTTAGTTCACATGTCTCAGAGGTTGACCAACTTCTCCAACCAGAAGCCCCGGAGGAAGAAGAAGCCACAGATTTATCCCATGCAGAAGATTGTGGCTTAGAAAAAGAGCTTCCGATGTCCATTTTTTCAAAATTTTGGGTTAGAGAATTAGGAGTAATGAATGCGAAATCCAAAGGTTGATAGTTTGCAAATGCTTTCATGACTTGAATATAGGAAAGTGGATAAAGGTGGCTAATCAATGCATGAAGGTTTTTTCGAGGAAAAACAGCATCATCTAATGACTCTCGTGTAATCGATCCATAGAAGATAGAATTAATTTGGCCATAAAAGATGTATCAGACTGTTTGAATACTAAAATGGTGGGGATGTTCAAGGGATTAAAAGAAAATTTAATGCAAATGATGAATGACAGTTGCATTTTTGGGAGAATGCAAAGCCCATGCACGTTCTAGGACGTGGTTAAAAAAACCTTGATCCACTAATATCACCAAGTATTGGGTATATTAATGCGGGAGGTAATGTTGGCTACATATTTTGTATAAGCCTATTACAGTTCGACACATGGCAAGTTGAGGGTAATACGGGAAGACAATCCAAACCTTCGATCATGATCGTATACGTTGCAGTTGGTATTAGTTTTCATAAGATCTACGTAGTACTGAATCAACAAAGAGATGCAAAGTGATGTGGCTTTAACGGTTACTCACATTTGAATTTAAAAATCAGGAGGGAAGATTAACTGCAAATATTGGCATAGTGGAGCTAACTCTAAGGCAACATGATCAGCGATCATGTAGAAGCAGTTCGATGGTTCTCCTTGAGAAGTATAAATAGCATAGAGGACCCCAGAAAAAGCCCAGACTCAGATCCAAGAAAACCAGTTTTATTCTACTTTATTCCCTTTCCAGTTTTTACATTTCCTGTTCCTTACATTTCTGTACTTTAATTCATCTACTGCACTTCGTTCATAGGAGTAGTTTCAAGTAGATTGTTGCTGTAAACCTCTACAAGGCTGAATTGGATCATTGTAAGTTTTCATTTTAATGAAATGCTTCAATTACTCTTCATTTGATTGTCATTTGCTTAATTCTCCTAAATCAAGCCACCAGTAAAAGTCCTCTTCATTGAGGTTAAAAGAACTAAAACACAATCGTCTGATAATTGGTTGGTAGTTAATTTTCTCTAAGGACTGATTAATCCTTGCTGGCACGCTCATAATTACAATAATAACATTCGAAAGCCAAAAAGGCAACATATATTAGAAGATGTATTTGTAATTTATCAAAAAAAGGGAAAAGATGTATCTTAGATGGAGCTTAATCTTTTCATCAGATGTCCTCTGTCTTCTTGTTCTGAAAAATGAAGGGCCTATTAATGCCATCGACCCAGGAGGTATTGGTGATTGAGCTTCCTGTATTTGAAATATCCCTTCACCATCATCATCATCAATCTTGCAATCATGGACACCAATCTGCATACAAACAAACATGATAAACTGATACTAGTGCATAAATATGTATGTGTTTATTTATATATCTGTTTTTTTGTTTATTTTGAAGAAAAAAAAATAGTAATCTTAAAACTTGTAAAGAATCTTCACCGACCTTAGTGTTGTTGACATCCATGCTTTCCTTACAGAAAAGTGGAGAGGGGGCTTTTTCCCTTGGTGGTGTTATGGGTGGGAAAGATGATGCATAATTCATTTCTTTTTGGTATTTCTGGATGGAAAAGAATGTGTTTTTTTCCTAGGAAAAAAAACAGTGGGAACTTCACCAAGTTTCTAAGAAGTGGAGAGTAAAAAAACACACTTGGCCCATTGAAAATAATTGTTGAGGTTGAAAAAATGTGTGTGTTTTGTTTCTTTTGAAAGAAAATACCGAGAAACTTCACCGAAGTTTTTAAGAATTAGTGTAAAACAACACTTGGCCCACTAAAAAAATAAATGTGGGTGAAAAGAGTGCTTTTCCCTTGGTGTTAATAGCACAGTTACATTCCAATTTATGAATTTGAAATGAAAGAATTTGAAAATTAATCATTTTTGGAGAATAATTCAAATTTAACTATAATAACCTTGCTATAGATTTTGGGATTGAATTTATGAGTTTTACCATAATGGGTGATTATGATGGATTTAATAATAATACAAAAATAATTATTTGAAATCATTTGTATTATGAATATTATAATTGTAAAAAAATTAACTAATTGGACTAACTCAGTTTGCCAACTATGCCTGTACAACTAGAAGGTTAGGAGCTAATCTTTGGTAAATCTAAAAATTGATCATTTCTTTGCTATTATGGGAATTTGTTAGGGTAGTGGTTTCTTCTTCATTATAGAGTTCTTTTGTTGAACTTATATATATCTCTTAAATTTTTATAAAATTTAACTTCAAATAATTTCATTTGAAATATATCTATTCAAACTAGAACCAAAATTGACCCGGAAAAGAATAAAGGGAGGGAATTTCATATTTGTAGACGGATCAAAATAGTGGTTTTGATAATATAAAAAAGAATTTGGCTTGTCTTCAGGTGAAAATTGAATTGTATTAGACAATTGAGATTTTTGACTGATAAGAGTCATTTAAATGAAATATTCATATTTGTAAGAGTTTATGAAAATATGACTCAATTAAATTTTTTTCAAAAATTCTTATCAATAAAAAATTTTCATTTAATAACGCTTACTAATTAGAAACTTCAAATGCCTAATTCAATTAAAATTTTAATTAGAAACAAGTCATTCCCTATTAAAAACAACCTTCTCGGTTGAAAGGAAAATAGAGGAACTCAGGCAAAGATAATGATATTTGGATGATAACAACGTTGGGCCCACTGATGAAAAAAATTTGATTGAGATTGTGGTATGCATCTTATTTTTTTTAAGGACAATTATCGTACAGTGGTGTCAAAGAAAAAATTTATGCATTAATAATAAAAATTTTAATTTTAATTATTAATATGTACAATATTTATCAAATTTTAGTAAAAAATTCTAACAATGAGATATTTGTAATTTTTCAAATCACACAGATCAATTTACATTTTAAGCAAATCGCAAGAAATGTATTTATAATTTACCCTTTATTTTAACTGTGTATCTTATAACATTTTTCCATAAGTGTAAGACTTGCTCAATCCATTAAAATGATCAGACTATTAGTTTGGATTTGTGAATTTATCACGCCTTATATTTTGATAATTCAATTAATTTATTATGTTAATATTTGTGTATAAATTATTTATTAGAAAAATATATTTATTTGATAATTATAGTTAGTGTACGGGAGAAAAATATTCACCTCACTCCGTACCTCCTTGTTATCAAGCTCGTCTCACTCCGTTAGAACTCCGTCGCACTATGAACAAAACAAAGGTGAGCTACCTGGCGGGTGGGTTTGCCGGAAAACCCCTTCGACGGTCAAGTTAGCTTACTGGGCACGAAGAGAGAAGACAGAGAGCATTGTAGAGAAAGAAAGTTATACCAAATTGCTTACCTCTACCGTCTGCATGCTCCTCCTTTTCAAGGCTGGCCATACAGCCTCAGTGATTGTGGGCGCACTACCTCTGCTGCCTTTCTTTGGACAGGCGGCTGTGCACCCCTCTACTCTTTCTACACGTGTAGAGACCAAAACCTCCAAATAGTGTTTTTCACACCGCCAAACGGCATTGAAGCATACCAGAAAAGGATTTCTCTCTACTCTTTATTGGTCCACGTGAGACACCTGACCAAACTATCACTTGGTTATAAACAACACCAAAGATGACTTCCTTAATATCGAGCTAAGTATGATCGACCGTTCTCTCGGTGCCAAGGCCGAATTATGTCAGACTCAATCTTTCTTATTCCGTGTTGAGTACGAGCGACCGGTAGCTCAGTCACCACGTAGCTCGCATCTCTTTAGTCGGGTCGAACGGGGGCGTACCGCATGCCCTCCCGATTAAGACGATCACCCCAGTTACAGTAATGAACACAGCTTAGCCATACCAAATGTCGATCTTGTTTGACGGGGTCCAGAGTGCATGTCGTTCGGCCTCCGCTTGGCCCAACATCATTCCTATGTTGACCCAGGCCCAACAGACGACATAATCGTGTTGTACCTAGACCGGCCCAGTGCTCAGCGTAAATCCCTCTCTCAGTTACGTAATGTTACCCAAAAGACAACCTAAGAAGGGGGTGAATTAGGTTTTATAATTAAAATTAATAATACCCTAATAAAAATTATGACTAGCACAATAGATAAATATAATTAATGAAATAAAAATAATTAAGACAAGTGTCTTAACAACTATGTTAGTTAATGATTTTAGCACAGTAAAAATGTGAAATATAGTTATGGCAATTTAAAATAAAATAAAGAGATAAGGGAGAGAGAGGCAAACAAATTTATAGTGGTTTGGCTTCAACTCGGCCTACGTCTACTCCTCAAGCTTCACTTGAGATTTTCCACTATACTCTAACTTCACAGGGTGCTAGCAACCTTTTCATAGATGGAGCAATCTTTCACAGATTTTACACTGACTTTCTAAGTCAAGAACACTGAGTGTACTACACTCTTATAAGGTTGAAAAGAATGTGCTTTTGCTTTCACAGAAAGCTAAAAGAATTATCTCTCAAAGATAGATGTCAAAATGAAGCTCTGGTTTTTCAGTAAACCTCACACAGGAAAGATAGGCTTAAAACTATAAGGCTCAGTGTATAATTTCTGAGAGATGATATAAACAAAAATTGAAGAACACTCCTCAGAGAATTTTTCAGAGAATAGGTGTGAGTGATTATAGATCAAAGAATATTTTTTGATTTTTTTGTAACTTGTTTACATTAGAGGCTTTGTTATATATAATGAAAATTATAGCCGTTTATAACCGTTGTATTTATTTGAATTTATAGCCGTTGTAGTCATTTGAATTTATACCCGTTGTACTCCATCATTACTAATTTGAATTTCTTCCTCTCCATCATTACAAATTTGAATTTCTTCCTCTTCATCATTACAAATTTGAATATCTTCCACTTGAACCTTTTGAACCTTTTGGCCTGCTGTTGTGCTGGACTATTTGAACTCCTGATTTAATCAATTATTAAATACATTCTAACAACATTTAAGATAAAGGTTTAGATAAGAAATAATGGGACAAAATATATTTTGATTCTATTTTTATTTTTCAAATAAATTAAAATATATTTAAATAAATTATCAAAATAAATTTTGGATTCTATTTTTCTCTTTTAAATAAATTAAAACATAATTAAATAAATCATCAAAATAAATAAGTCTAACAATCTCCCTATTTTTTATGATGGCACACAATGATGTTTGATTTGATTTGGGAGTAAGAAAGGCTCTCCCTCAAGTCATGCTCCCTAAATTCATTTCTAAATACATAGGTTAGCACATGTGTAATAAATAAGCTTTAATCAACAACATGATATAAGATTAAGATATTAAACTATAAATACATAACATCATATTAGTTTGAAAATAATACCATAATACATAATATCATATAATTTCTCCCCTTGTGACATTATCAAAAGGAAATCATGGGTCAGAATCTAGAGGAGGAGAAGGAGGAAAATGATAGGGATAAATGGCATCAAAAAATAGATAATCAAAACATATATATACATATGCATATATATATATATATACATATACAACTCTCTCGCATCTCTCTTTTTCCTTCGATAAATGCGTTTGACACGCGGCCTCACTTTTGCGTCATTGGCCGACAAAAGCAGGCCTCGATTTGTACTCGCCCCGGCTCCCTCTCTCTCCTTGTCTTCTTCTCTTTTGCCTTCTTCTTAATCACACACTCTTCCATTTTCTTCTTCACCATTTTCTTCTATCTCTTCTTCAACACTCTCTTTTGTTTCTTTTTTCTCATCGAGAGACAAAGAAACTAAACGGAGGAGGCCAAACCTCTGTCTAGTTGGTTCTATTTCTCTACAACTCATTTCTTTGACACCTCTCACCTCTAATCCATGGCTTCCTCATCCTGTCCCCTCACTCTGTTTCCGGACCTGAATGATCCCATAAGCTTTGCTGGACCGAATGCCCCTACTCCTACTCTTCCTGTCATTCCTCGTCCTAACCTTCCTATGATGTTGATTGAGCAAATCATGGCAACTCAATCTGACATAGAAGCCAATCATTTCACACTAACGTTCTGTATGGAGACAGTGACGGCAGTCACAAAATTGGCTCACCGATTGCAGAATAGGACGAGTGAGCTCTATCAGGTCAACGCCCAACTCTCTCTGCTCCAGCGCATGTACAAGGATGCGCGAGTAGAAATAGGCGCATTGAAGGCCAAAAATAAAGAGCTTAAACAGAAGACCACCTCCATGACCCGATTTGGAGCAACGTCATTCTTGGCCTTTGATAGCCAGCAAGAAGTCGTCGCTCTCGACGAAAACACAGGGGCAGGGGCAGGGGCATCAAAGGTCGCCCAAGGTGATAAAAAG